AGAATAAAGCCAGAACTTTCAGAGGCTTAAGAGCCTGGTGAGTGGGGGGGGGGGGCTGTTTGACCTCAGAATCCTGTTAGCAGAGCTGAGTGTCCTGGCATTCTGTTGCCTCCAGGATAAGATGTCCCAAAAGTCAGTTTAAGCTATACTGTAAGTTCCATCACCTGTGAGCCTGACCTAACAGGAGCAGTTTAACTGGGGCCACTGGATTATCTAACCCAGTAAATCAAGGAGTAATCGGCACAGGGTGACACCAGAATCTTTTTTGAACACCTGAAAATATAACAAATATAAAAACCTTCTTCGACATTAGCAATCTGATTTGATATCAGGAAGTTAAGTGTTTTTATCAGATTGGATTCAGGCACTGATATTCAGACATTTTAAGAGGGGCTCTGTAATTGGATATAGATTCTGTGCCTCCCAGTGTAGCAGGTGACATGTAAAGATTGCTAAAGATGGAGTGGCTCCAGAAGCTATTGAAAAGCCCGCCTGGAAAAGGGAAAAGAGGCACTCCACTCAAGAGGAAACCTTTTGGTCCACATAATGCCAGCAGCCAAACCACTGGTAGAGAACATTAAACTGTTTTCGTAAATTAAAAATGAAAGAAATAAAAACGAGGCCAGAAATGAATCATCGTTATATGTTAAGATAGAAACCAACACATTTAAACAGTGTAAATTGTGACATGGTTGTGTGTACAATGAACTTGAGAAAATACTCTTTGTGCCAGTGCGTGGGGCCTACCAGATGTTCGTGCACTGTTCTTTCCCCAAAACTCAGCTCCCATTCACATCAGCCTTTACCCATTTAAAGCCCGATCACACTAAAGCATGGCCGTCTTCACTTTGGCTGACAATTCTCATTGTAGAAAACAGAGTAACATGAAGCGATGTAATTATCTTCAATGAAAATGTTTCACTCAGAAAGTGTGTGGTTTTACAGCTGTTTAAGTGGGAATGGATGCATGTTAGAAGAATGTTTCTTCTGTCATCATAACGTTTGTTGTTCAACATGTTCTGCCATCCTCTGTAGTTCTTTATAAGCCACATGCATGAAACTCTATCCTCTGCTACTTTTTTCCTGTTTACACCTCTGACATCAGTGCCTGGAAGTCCAGTCCACTTTAAATTGTCTTGTACACAAAATGTGCTACATAAATCAATTTGCCTTGTCTTGCCATAAATGTGATGAGATATTGGTTCACTGGGATACAGAATTGCAGTATGATCATTTTCTGAGTATTCAGCTTTTGTTAATGATGCTTTGCTAATAGTAGCTGTTTCATTTTGTGTTGAAGTGTGTGTGTGGTTCATCACAATACGGTGCAGCAAAGGAAGCAACAGCCTGACTCACATTCATTCAGATGGAGTTAAGCCTTCTGCTAAATTGGGTTAGACACACAGAAGAGCAAGATACATAACAATGGTCCAAAATAATTACATGTGTAGACGTACATAGAAACTGAGGTGAACTCATTTTTAATGTCAGTTAAACAGTTATAAACAAAATGTGTATTCCACACTTAACAAGCCCTCTTTGCACATGGAAGAACAAGAGAGGAATCTAACTATTTACCAGAAACGTTGTAAAACTTTGCTCTCAATAGAGATGGGCAGAAGAAAGGAGATGTCTCTTGCTTCACCGTCATGCTGTGTTTCATTTTTACTTTTTAATAGAAGTGTCAAGAAATTCTCAGG